ATTCATCCTCAGTACATTAGCTCTATATTTTTACATCAGTTACACTGTATCCAGTACAGTAGCTGTAACTAATTTAGATATTTTTGACCATATTTTGCCATACTGTCACTGACAACAGTATTTAAATATGAATTAGTTGAAACTACTAGTCTCCCAACATATTTTACTGGTTTAGGGGGATTTTGCTGTTGTGGCACATAGATGCACCGAATTTTAAAAGACTTCAGGAGCTATTAATTAATGATAATAAGGATATGTGAGAAACTAGAAATGTTAGTGACCGTAATTATATGGAGTGAAGCAGTGGCATATCTAGGGTATGGCAGGGAGCGCATGTGCCCTGGGAGCCACTTGATGGGGGCACTGTTTCAGTCAGGGACAGTGGAGAAGTTTATCCCTTTAGATACTCTGTGCCCCATTCAGACCTCTTCTCAGAGTGGACCTGCTGTGTCCGGCAGCATAACCAACAAGTTATACTATTCACTTCCTTTGCCAGGCTCTGACTAATTACTCATCTAATGCAGAGCCTTTCAGGGGAAGTAAGTAGTGTAAGTATTTCTATGCCTGGGCTTTTTGTTTACATGTGACAAGAGTGATCATCTGTGCTGTCACGGAGGATCCACATTGATGGAAGGTATGAATGGGACAGCTTAACTAAAAAAAAATACGCCACTCCTGATCCCTGAGACCATGGGGCAGATCAGCTTTGGTGTCACTGCAATGAAGACAGCTGATGGAGGTCTGATGGGGCATAATATAATTAAAAAAGCACACACCTCTCCTCACCCTTGGGGCCCCAACCACGGGACCTATCAGCTAACCTGTCACTGTCAATTGTGGGTCCATGCTGATGGAGATCTAAATGGGATTGGGATCATTCTATTAAGATAAAAAAATACCTCTGCTACACTCTGTATGCCATGCTGTACATTCCCTATTCCACAATGCCTCATTCTATATACCATGCTGTATGTTCTCTATTCCACACTGCCTCATTCTTTACACCATGCTGTACATTACCTATTCTGCATCACCTCATTCTATATATCATGCTCTATGTTCCCTATTCCATACCACCTCATTCCAAATGCTATGCTGTATGGTCCCTGTTTCACACCGCTTCATTCTATATACTATACCATACATTCCCTATTCCACACTGCCTCATTCAATATATCATGCCTGCATGTTTCCTATGCCATGCTTCCTCATTCCATATGCCATGCTGTTGTACATGTAATATTCTACATTTCCTCATTCTTTACACTGTGCTGTACATTTCTTATTCTGCACCAACCATACAGGTCCAGCAGCTCTAGTGTGTGAGTGTGTCTACGTGTGGAAGCCAGCAGTTCTAGCATGTGTGTTTGGGTGTTCCAGAGGTAGGATGTTAGATGTTTGGATGGTTGTGCAATTTCAGTGCTTGCCATAGGCACTACTTACCATAGATACATAACTGGATTGGAGTGGAAAGAAATTAGTTTCAAATTCTCACCTCTCTATGTGCCACCATCCCCCAAAAAACTAAATGAAATACATTCTTAGATACAGGACTATATTTAAAGTAAAATATATCAAAGTTTTATTAACAAACCAGTTACATTTTAAGTGGATTTACATTCATAAAACTAGTGTCTATGCATACATAATGTATGTACAGAAACACCCACTGCAGCATGGGAATTATGCCTTAAAGCAATATGTTTTTATACGCAACTCACGTCTTACGTTGACTAATTTCGCAGACAAGTATTAACAAATATACTTCAATTTAGTCCAAAAGAAGCAGACATTTCTACGAAATGCGTCAACATGAGATGTGAGTTTTGTACATGAGCATATTGCTTGGAGGCATATTTCTCATGCTGTGGTTGTATATATCTGTACGGATATAATGTATGCATAGACACTGATTTTATGGAGTTATGTCCACTTAAATTTTAACTGCTTTGTTAATAACACGTTAAAATGTTTTACTGAAATATTTTGTCTCTCCTGTGCTAAATTTAAAGTTCCAGTATTTATGAATCTCCTTCATTTATAAAAGCTAATGACAGACTTTGGAAATCTGTGAATATTTCTTACATGTACTATGACAGCCTCAAAAAGCCTTAGCTCTTTTACTTGTAATAACAGTTAACTAGCCTCAACATACATCATTTTATACATAGTTTTCTGCTATTCCACATGTACTGGACACTGATCTAAAATTCCTGCAATATCTCCATTAAATGCTAACATATTATACTAGAATTTTTTTAACAATGAGTAAAATAAATTTAAAAAAAAATTGAAGAAAAATGATTGCACTCACAGCTGTAGTGGGTAAGAAATTACACTGCAACCTTCTGTATTACATTTTGCAAAAGATTTTCCTTCACAAACATAGCTGTCTATTCACTAATGGAGAACTGTAGGTCATCTAATAGCGGGAGACTCCCGGAGCGCCCGGGAGAGTTGGGCTGACTGGAGATCAGTGTCCCTGGTTACCTGGTAACCAGGAACGCTGATCTCTCTGCAAGTCGCCGGAGCCAGCAGGTAAGATCACAGCCTGCTCCGCACAGCTGTCAGAAGCAGGCTGTCGACCGGCCAATGGCTGGCCGCTCTGCCAGCTTCGGCTTTCACCTCGGCTCAGTCGAGCCGAGGCATATGCCTTCAGCTCGACTGAGCTGCTCGGCCCACTTCGGGAGCTGTACGGGCTATAGTGAATAGCCCGTACAGCAGCCCTTCAGTTCTACTAAACCGAAGGGGTCCTGGGGTCGAAGCTAGCCTAAGGATCAGCCGAAGCTACGGCTATATCCTTCGGCAGCTTCGTGAATAGACCCCATAGTATTACACCACTATGAATATTATTCCACACATAGTGTAAAACTATTATTGCTACAGTGTATCAATCAAATCATATACAAGGTAGACTCTAATACAAGTCAAATAAAAAAAACAATTACTCTTGTTTTTTGAATACCAGCAAACTTGTAAACTAAAATTCACTATCCTGTAGGTATCAGGCCACTGTAAGATCCCATTCACACTGGTTCGACTGTGCAGATCCGCCGACCTGCACGATCACATACATTGCTATGGGGACCGTTTATGCGACCGCACGGCTCAGCAAGATCCGAACCGGCCCCAGCCCGAACTGCTCCCTGCCCAGTTTTGGGCATTTTTAATTGCTTTTCAGCGCTGAAACGCAATTAAAAACTCCCAAAACCTCCCTTTTGAAATCAGCACAGAAACGGTGCTAATCCGCAGCCGCCCTAGTGTGAATGGGCTCTAAAAGATAACTTATTCTGGAGGTGTCTCAGTTACGCAGACTCGAAAAAAAGGAAAATTCCGGGAAAGAAGTCATCATTCATCATCACCTCAAAAGATGCGGGGCAGAAAATGCGGCACTGACAAATTACTTTCTATCATAGCAAAAGTCACCGGGAGTCTGTTTAAACAGCCCCGATGCTGGCGACGTACACTGTACGTCGTCAGTCACGAAGGAGTTAATATTAGATGGTGGGTTGGAGGTGGCACCTCCTGCGGATGAGGGTCAGCAAACAGCAGTTGTTACCACAGTTCTGTTATTGTCTCTAGTAATACAATTTCAATGTGCCAAACTCTACATTTAGGGGTCTATTCACGAAGCTGCCAAGGGCAGCAGCTCGGCTGAGCCGCTCTGCCATGATCGGGAGCTGTACGGGCTATTGTGAATAGCCCGTACAGCACCCCTTCGGTTCTACTGAACCGAAGGGGTCCTGGGGCCGAAGCTAGCCGAAGGATCGGCCAGATCCTTCGGCAGCTTCGTGAATAGACCCCTTAGTGATGATGATGATGCAGTAATAGTGTTGAGGATGTTGACTCTGTAGCAGCTGAACATTAATGTGTGTGGCCCACAAAAACAATCAAAGGATATTTTTATAAAATGGAAAACCAAGGGGCGTGGCCTGGACATGGAGGAGTGAGGCCGCATTGAATCGGAGCTCTGCACGGCCCCGTCTCCCTGGACGTCTAAGTGGACTTTAAACTGTTTCCTCCCCACATGTCACAGCCCAAACGAGCCCGCAGCTCATCCCCGCCGACTACACACCGGGATCTCCTGCACTACTTCGGGCAGTAGCTGAGTCCTCAGCAGGCCGCGCCGGAATCCAAGATGGTGCCCGGCCGTTACACTACGGTGAGTCAGACCCCCAATAAACGGCAGCCTAAGCAAGCGCCCGGGGCCCCTGACCCAGCCACGTCACGATCGGACCGCGACAGCTCCCCGTTTCGGACCCCCAGCATGTCCCAGGGGGATGCCCCACTGAGTCCAGCCCGATCGTCCGCAGACCAAGATCAGGAGGCAGGCTCTGAGCAATCATGGCGCTCCCTCCTCCCCCAGTTATCCACTAAGGCTGACCTAGATGAGATGGCAGCCAAAATAGTGCAGGCCCTGCGGACAGAAGTACATGAGATAAAGCAGCAGGTAGTGGCACTGGATGGCAAGGTTACTGCGGTAGAAACCGTCACAGACGATCTCCTGTCTCGCATGTCAGCTATTGAATCTGCCCATGCAGCCACTCAACA